TCCCTCTAGTCTTACACTGCTAAATTAGGGATGGCTAGTGCAGATAACCCTCGTGTAGCTTTGTGCAAAATTCAAAACAAAACAAACTTGTATAGATAGATATTTGCTCTTTCACATTAAATGTCAAAAACATATGACACACGTGAAATATTATGATTTCATGTAATATTAAATATACAATAAGAGAAAAGGGTGAAACTTTCATTTAAATTTGTAACTGTTTTTGGAATCGTCAGAGGTTTCTAAATATTGTTCATAATGTATCAGTTACTGTTACTATGTTCACTAACTTTAAATTGGATTATATTATAACTTAAAAATAGCTTTATTCATATCAGGGCTCATTCAAGAAAAGTATACAAATTATCTTAAATTTTCAGATATATTTTTTTTGTATGTAAAATATTACAATTTTGTTTCTTGGTTATTATTTAAAAGAAAAATAATTAATTATTTTTAATTATTTAATTTTATTATGGTTCTTTTTCTGCATCAAATTTATCATCTGAATTTTAAAAAAGGACTTTAGCTTGCAGTGGTAATATATTAAATCGTTTATTGAACTTGTATGTTTTGATTATTATTAACTGTAGGTGAGAGATTATCCATCAGACTTTAAGGTCCAGTGTATGGTTGAAAACTTACAAGTAGAATGGAATCCTGATCTTGGAAACTTGATCAGAAAACTGACACCTTTCTTTAAGACTGATTTAAACTCAGTTTCTGATTTGTCAGATGAAGCAGAAGTTTCTAGTAGTGCTGTGGAAAAAGATGTAATGATTAATCATTCTTCGAGGATCATGGACAAATCGTTTTTCTCCCACACACTACAGTTAAGCTTCAAAAACACCAGTTTGTATGCTGTTACAGAAGAAGGACCAGGGTTGATAATGCAGTTTGACTCTATTACATTAGATACAGCATCTGAAAAACTCTTTGTATCATTAGAAGGAGTCAAGATGGTTTCTATAGCTACTGCTGACCAGGTTAGCTTTTAAAATTCACATTGGAAAGCCATTTGACTTTATTGTGCCAAACTTATGTTATTAATTCAAATTATTTGACAGCATATTCTGTAGTAATAGCCTGGTACTAAGTTCACAATAAACAATTTAGTTGATACTAACTACTGTGAAAAAAAACTTTCACAAAAATGGGATTAGTTGACAGTTTTGCATAGTAGGCTTGGGATTTAATGTGAAAGTAGGCTTGTAACTTGATGTAAAAGTAAGCTTAACAATTAATGTGAAAGTAGGCTTGTAACTTAATGTAAAAGTAAGCTTAACAATTAATGTGAAAGTAGGCTTGTAACTTAATGT